TGAGTGGTATTGGGTGGTTATAGATAGGAGCTGCCTCGTATGGGGCAATAGGCCTTCTGCAGTTACCTTTGTTCTTATGTTCTTATGATCAGCCTGATCAGGCTGTGCGTGTATGACAATAAGCCATATGCTTTGTGATTGATTGATTGATGAAGATTCAGCCAACCAAGAGGTGGCACAGGCATGAATAGCCCATAACATCTGTTTGTGTTCTATTTTCATCCATCTTGGCTTGAGACTTTGAATTCTATGTGAAGAATTTCATTGTTTTTGTGCTTCTTTGGTTTCTGAATATAAAAATCTTTCTCCTCACCTCACTTAATGAACACTAACCTCATGTGACTGAAGATACAAATAAAAGATTAAATTGACCACGAAACACAAACCCAGTGAGCACTTGACAGCGAGCACTTGACAGCAAGACGAAGGAGTGTATACAGACAATGATAATGGCTGAGGAAATAGCAAGATTCTTCACGTCGCTCAAGCAATGGTTCTTCAGTAATATCTTCGCTATGTTTTCCCACCTCTGTATTCTGACGCGCTTCATCTCCTCAGTATATGAGGTAAGTTTTTATTACACATTTAATCCCTCTTTATCCAGTTCCTCATGTTAAATTTATTTTCAAGGACTGAAGTTGGAGAGAGGTTGATATCATAATTGAGTTTCGTGTTTGTCAGTATAACTTCATGAAATATGCTGTGCAGGCAGCTGGCATTATCCTTATCATTTCATATTATAATATAATCTGCACAAGTCTCGTTATATTAAGTGAATATATTCTTAGTGTAAGGACACTTAATTTTACTTAAACACTTAAATCATATATATATATAATTCTTATATTAAATTACAATTGATCTACAGGTGATGAGAGAGACGGAAGTTGAGTTTGACGATGATCAATCCTTCATACAAGCTCATCCACGTGACGTCATCCACATTCTGGATGATAGTGACAACGATGATGATAGTGACGACAATGATGATAGTGACGACTATGATGATAGTGACGACTATGATGATAGTGACGACTATGAGGATCGTGGCAACTGTGAGAATCGTAAAATGGATGAGGATGGTGAGGATGCTGACGACGAACAGGATTATGACGACAATGAGGATGGTGACGACAATGATGATAGTGACGACTATGATGATAGTGACGACTATGAAGATGGTGACAACTATGAAATTCGTGACATCGAAGAGGATAGTGACGACTATGAGGCTCGCGGTATCGATGAGAATGATGACGACTACGATGAAATTTTCAACAATGACATTAGCCGTGACGAAGGATATGAAACTGGCAGCGATATGTACGTTGAGGTTGACAGTGACGATGACAGTGACTTGCCCAGCGTCGAGGAGGTTAGGTATGCTTGGATATCGCTGTTTGCGGCAAAAGGATGTGAATATGTTAGAAGACGACCTTTAGGTCAGTTATACCGCCAATAATATCAAGTATAGGTGTTATAGATATTATAGAAGATATTGGAGTATAGAAGATATACTCCAGAAGTATAGAAGAGCTATATCAATAGCTGTAGACGATGTTGGAGTCAGTACCAGCAGACGCCAGTCAGCCAGTGTTATTCCCTTGCAACATCAGACGCCACATTCAGCACATCACTGATACGTTGCAGTTTTCTTATTCTCCTCAACAGTCCATGTGACAATTAATGTCGAATTATGTTCCAGCTTGCATGTAGAACTATGTATTCCTACATCAAGGTGTTGGAATACAAAATGTATATTATTTATGTAATAAATTTGATTTTTATTTACATATTTTATTTCCATTTATGAATGAAAGAAGAAAATAACTTAAAAAATTGTGTCAAGGCCAGTCAGCTCCGACTTGTGCACAACTCGGATGTAATTAAACAAATAGTAAAACTCAAAAAAAAACAAATCCCCAGGGCCGGATGAAGTTGTTTGCCAGGGTGCTTAAAGAGTGCAAAGAGGAGCTTTCCGAGCCACTGTCTACCATATTTAATAAATCAATAGATTTATAGTTAGGTAGAGTAACAGACTCATGGAAGGTAGCTAATGTGGTACAAATTTTTAAGAAAGGAGATAGACTAGACTAATTGGCCGTCAAACTATCGGCCAATTAGCCTAACGACTATTGTGGGAAAGTTACTTGAATCGATAATTGCAAATACAATTCGTCTTCATCTTGAAAAACATAAATTAATAAATGAGTCACAACATGGTTTTACAAATGGCCGTTTATCACACACAGATCACACTAACGTGATGCATCAAATGAACAAATCCACAAGGGCCGTGACGAGGATTCGAACCTGCGTCCGGGAGCATCCCAGACACTGCCTTAATCGACTGAGCTACGACAGGGTAAGTGAGCTTGCTCAGATTAAGGCAGTGTCTGGGATGCTCCCGGACGCAGGTTCGAATCCTCGTCACGGCCCTTGTGGATTTGTTCATGGCCGTTCATGTTTAACAAATTTGCTATCTTTCCTTGCTATAAAATTTCCAGCATAGTTGAGGCAGTTGATAGTGGTAAGGATTGTGATGTCGTGTACCTTGACTTTAGCATGAAAGACTGATTGAAAAGATAGAGACTCATGGTATTGGGGGTGCTATATTAAGCTGGATTAGGGCATGGCTATACCAAAGGAAACAGAGTTAGTATAAATGGAGTCAAGTCAGAGTGGGAAAGGGTTGTAAGTGGAGTGCCTCAAGGTTCTGTCCTGTTTATAATATATATAAATGATTTAGATTCAGGTTTGAGTAGCAACATTTGCAAATTTGCCGATGATACGAAAATCGGTAGGGAAATTAATTCGGAGGAGGACTCACTATCTTTGAGGCTAGGTAATGATGGAGTTACAAGATACGAACTAGATGGTGTTGAGATTGCGAAGTATCAACACAAGACAGAACAATGGGTATAATTTGGATAAGTTTTGATTTTGGAAAGATTTTGGTAAATACTGGTTCGGTAAAAGGGTTGTTGATTTGTGGAACCAATTACCGCGTAACGTGGTGGAGGTGGAGTTCCTCGATTGTTTCAAGCGCGGGTTGGACATGTTTATGAGTGGGATTGGGTGGTTATAGATAGGAGCTGCCTCGTATGGGCCAATAGGCCTTCTGCATTTGCCTTTGTTCTTATGTTCTTAACTCCCGCACATACCAATGATTGATAATCTGATGAAGATTAAGCCATCCAAAAGGTGGCACGGGCATGAATAGCCCGTAAGTGGTGGCCCTTTTGAGCCATTACCAGTATCAAGAGTTGATACTGGCAAGGTGCGACTACACCTTGCGTGAGACAGACAATAACGTCTCTCACAATAAATAAACACTTGGGCAACGTTGTGCACAATGGACCGAAACGATATCCTCATGATATCGGTCCGAGGTCCGATATCCTCATGATATCGGTCCGAGGCGGACTTAAACGTCCTCACAATTTATATATGAAAGTTGGGTATATTCACTCATATATCTTGAATATAATATACTCACCTATATTTTTTCCGTCACTCACGCTACTCTGTAAAATTTTCCGTAAATCTACCAGCCCGTTTTCAACCTCTCAACGTTTTCCCAATTTAAGGTGTACTCTCCTAACCTACCAGAGGACCCAAAGAAGAAAACGGGACAGAACGTCACTTGCGAGTCTAGGCGAGCTGCCTCCATTTTCTAATACGACAATTTTTGTAACACATACGAGCGAAAAGTGACGTTCTTTATATGAATCAGGTTGAATCAACAGCTTTATTAAAGGTGGAAATGATGTTGGACGAGTTAGGAGTGAGGAACTGATACAGAGGTTTAAGACAGCCATTGGGTGGTTATAGATAGGAGCTGCCTCATATGGGTCAATAGGCCTTCTGCAGTGGCCTTTGTTCTTATGTTCATAGAATAAGTCAATTGCCGGCTGGAAAGATATTGCAAATCAAATGCAATATCTTTCATAACTGGGAACACTTCTATGGAAGAAATGAAATGTATGCTTGGGATGGGGTGCATCTATCGAGGGTTGTTGTTGAACTCGTTGGAACCAGTGGTTGGAGGCGTTTGTTTGGGTTTAAATTGTTAGCAGGAATGGGAATTGATATGGAGAAAGGAAGTAATAAAAGTATGTGTTTATGGGCGAAACAATTTGGCAAAATGATCAGGGAACGAGCCTCAAATTAACAATACACTTAGGGTATATTGCAATAACAGTAGAAGTCTAAGAAACGAAATAAAATGCATTCACTGGAAAGGCAAAAAGTTAGGGAGTTAGGACATAATAGAGGTTTACAAGTGGATGAATGGACATAACAAAGGGGATATTAAATAGGAATTAAAATAGGGTAAAATAGGGTATTAAAAGTATCAACACAAAACAATTGGATAAGTTTAGATTTAGGAAAGACTTGGGTAAATACTGGTAAATAACAGGGTTATTGATTTGTGGAACCAATTACCGCGTAACGTGGTGGAGGTCCAACACGCGCTCTCGATTATATATAGCTAATTGGCCTCGTATGGGCCAATAGGCCTTCTGCAGTTACATAAGAACAAAGAAATGTTAAAACATTATAAATGTTTTTTCTAATTCTAATGAAAAAAGGCAACTGCAGAAGGTCTATTGGCCCATACGAGGCAGCTCCTATGTATAACCACCCAATCCCACTCATATACATGTCCAACCCACGCTTGAAACAATCAAGCGTTGATTGTTTCATCAACCCACGCTTCCACGTTACGCTTAATTGGTTCCACAAATCAACAACCAGTTACCGAACCAAGTCTTTCCTAAATCTAAATTTATCCAATTTATACCCATTGTTTCGTGTTCTGTCTTGTGTTGATACTTTTAATACCCTATTAATATCCCCTTTGTTGTGTACATTCATCCACTTGTAAACCTCTATCCTATGTCACCCCTAACTCTTCGCCTTTCCAGTGAATGCAATTTAAGCTTTGTTAATCTTTCTTCATATGAAAGATTTCTAATTTGGGGAATTAACTTAGTCATGTCCGACACGTTCTAGTGAATTTATATCCATTCTATAGTAAGGCGACCAAAACTGAACTGCATAATCTAAATTGGGCCTAACCAGAGCAAGATATAGCTGAAGAATCACACCAGGAGTCTTGTTACTAACGCTTCGATTAATAAACCCCAGTGTCCAATTTGCCTTATTACGAACATTCATGCATTGATTCTTTTGTTTTAAATTCTTACTAATCATAACTCCCAGATCCCGTTCGCAATCCGACTTTGCAATCTCAACACCATCTAGCTTGTAATCTTGTAACTCTATCATCATTACCTAAGAACATAAGAACATAAGAACAAAGGTAACTGCAGAAGGCCTATTGGCCCATACGAGGCAGCTCCTATTCTATAACCACCCAATCCCACTCATATACTTGTCCAACCCGTGCTTGAAACAATCGAGGGACCCCACCTCCACAATGTTACGCGGCAATTGGTTCCACAAATCAACAACCCTGTTACTGAACCAGTATTTACCCAAGTCTTTCCTAAATCTAAACTTATCCAATTTATATCCATTGTTTCGTGTTCTGTCCTGTGTTGATACTTTTAATACCCTATTAATATCCCCCCGGTTATGTCCATTCATCCACTTGTAAACCTCTATCATGTCACCCCTAACTCTTCGCCTTTCCAGTGAATGCAACTTAAGCTTTGTTAATCTTTCTTCATATGAAAGATTTCTAATTTGGGGAATTAACTTAGTCATCCTACGCTGGACACGTTCAAGTGAATTTATATCCATTCTATAATATGGCGACCAAAACTGAACTGCATAATCTAAATGGGGCCTAACTAGAGCAAGATATAGCTTGAGAACCACACCAGGTGTCTTGTTACTAACGCTGCGATTAATAAATCCAAGTGTCCGATTTGCCTTATTACGAACATTTATGCATTGATCCTTTTGTTTTAAATTCTTACTAATCATAACTCCCAGATCCCTTTCGCAATCCGACTTCGCAATCACAACACCATCTAGCTCGTATCTTGTAACTCTATCATCATTACCTAACCTCAGAACTTTACATTTATCAGCATTAAACTGCATCTGCCAATCCTTTGACCATTTCAAAACCCTATCTAGATCAACTTGAAGTGATAGTGAGTCCTCCTCCGAATTAATTTCCCTACCGATTTTCGTATCATCGGCAAATTTGCAAATGTTGCTACTCAAACCTGAATCTAAATCATTTATATATATTATAAACAACAGAGGTCCCAGGACAGAGCCTTGAGGCACTCCACTTACAACATTTTCCCACTCTGACTTGATTCCATTTATACTAACTCTCTGTTTCCTTTGGTATAGCCATGCCCTAATCCAGCTTAATATAGCACCCCCAATACCATGAGACTCTATTTTTTTAATCAGTCTTTCATGTGGCACTGTATCAAAAGCTTTGCTAAAGTCAAGGTATACAACATCGCAATC